ATAATCGGATTAAAAGTTTTATAGCTGTATTGTATTTCTTCAGATACAAGGTGGGTTAGTCGAAAACATCTTAAACTGCCAGTTTTTGTTTGGTTTTTGTTATTATATCATATTAACTGTCCTCTCTGTATTTCAGTTCTCTAATGAGGGTCAAACTTGCAGTGAGCCATCAACAAATTATGAACGGACTATAAATAATACTATAATTAAAATCTCGCCTGCTGTTATAGAGTCTGTTATGTTGTGGCAAAAGTTCTGTCCGTTTGTTTGAGTCTACTTTAAACTGTAGTATCCCAGTAAATACTGCTTATACGCGTGATTCGATGAGGTTGACGATGGCCGTTTTTCATAGCCCTGATTGGCAAAAATTCTACCGGTGAGAAAGTTATCAAAGTGAGGAGGTTTGTGAAACGTGCAGACGGGCGTTGTCGTGGGTGGAGCAAGATCGAACCTCTTCTGTTGAACAATGTCGGCTGCTGCTGACGCAATTTTCCGTACATTTCGTTGATCTCCTCACAATAGGACTCTGCTGTAATGGTTTGGCTCGTAATATTATAACATTGTAAAATTAATTTAAGACTAGTAGGTAAGGCAACATTGTAAAATAAATTTAAGATAATTGAGACGCAGGTTGGTGGTGGCTGGTAGTAGACGGACTTGCTGATAACGCCCGCGTAAAGAATAAGTGGCCTCATTTATCCAGGCCGCGGTGGTTTAGATAACCACGTAAAGGGGGCTGTATATGTGGAAAAAACCGAAAGGTCCCCCGAGCAGGAGGCGACTTAATAAAAAATTAAATTGTTTTCATGACAAAAAATGTGTGGCAGCATTGCTTCGAGCAAGACCGCTACGGCCCCCAATGAAGCTCCTGTCAACCTTGATAGGAGGAGCCTGGCCAAATGCGCCCGAGTGGGAAGCAATGGCCACTAATATAAGAGAGAGAGAGAGAGACGCGGGGTACTTAATCCCCGTTCAAAGAGGCAACGGATATCCCCATCCCGAAGCCCAAGAAGAACCACCTGTTCCCAAATAATCATAGGCCAATTAGCTTACTGCCTTCCATAAACAAAGTGGCGGAACGTGTCATCTTTAAGAGACTCGAAGATCAAACCATAGAGCTAGGAATCCTCCCTGATGAACAATTCGGTTTTAGATTAGAACACTCGACAGAGCTACAAGTCCTGAGGATAGTAGACTTCGCGACCGAAGGCTTCAACCCCGGCAAAGGATACACCGGGGCAGGGGTCCCACACCTCTTCTCCGTATACATAACGGACGTGCCCAAGCCAGAGAAGAACTTTAACAAGTTGGCGCTCTATGCGGACGACACGGCCCTGCTGGCGAGAACTACGAGCCAAGCGCATGTCACGAGATATTTGCAACAACAGGCAGACATATTAGAGGAGTGGTCCAACCTGTGGAAGATCAGTATAAATCCTCACCTCGCCTCAAGTCAGGCGATACTGTTCACTCGCAGGCTTGTACAACCGGAAGTCAACATCACCTTCAACGGACAAGAGATTCCGTGGACCAACAAAGCGACATACCTGGGGGTCATCTTAGACAGGAAATTAACATTTCAGTCTCACTTACGGCAGAGAATCGGAATGGCTAGACACGTGAGACAACGCCTGGCACCTATCATAGGACGCAGAAGCAAAATGGGGTTGAAAGTAAAGTTGCTGATGATTAAAACCGTTCTCATGCCCATAATACTGTATGCCTGCACTGCCTGGGGCCAGTGTGTACAGACATACAGGAAGAGGATACAATCGTTTATGAACGCGAGCGTAAGGGCCGCCGTAAACGCACCGTACTATATCTATAGGCCTGGACACGCAATATGAGGACGTGTATATGAGAGAACACGCAGACAGCGTGATCGATAGAATCAGATCGCACAACAACCCAGCGCTACGCGATCTACATGATGCGTTGAATATGGATAATCCCAGGTTCCGAGAAACATCCAAGGCCGACAAAACAAAACCAACGACCACCCCCATGAATCGGTGTCAGGCGACTCAGGTAAGCATAAAACTAATCAGATAAACTCTCTTTCAGGTAGGTTCAACGCAGAACAATTCGACCGCGATTCACTTTTCCTTAGATTCACTGAGGAATGCTCGACGCTAAACACAACAGCCGCCGGTTAGTATTTTGGGGGCCTCCATGCAAAAATTCAGTTAGGAATAGTCATGACAAAACAAATAACCCATCAGAAAGTACAAGCACCTAAAGGCTGACTTTCGACCAAAAGAGGTCAGATGTCAATCTTGCTGAAATGCCCATCAGTAAATCGAGGACTGCTCGGAGTTGTGGGGCAAAGCTTTTACTTCAGGGCACTCAACCCGGGAGGGGGCATGGGGGGGTACCTAATCCAGAAGACAGTCGTTTATGAACGCGTGCGTAAGGGCTGCCGTAAACGCTCCAAGATATGTACCGAATAAGTACATATTCCGGGATTTAGACCTGAACATTAACTACGTAGATGCTAATATGAGACAACACGTAGAATGCGCGTTTGACAGAATTCGAGCGCACGACAATTCAGCGATACGCGATCTACACAATACAATAAACCAGAAGGCCAACCAAGCAGAACCAACGTCCACCTCTGAAAGTCGCTGTCAGGCGGCTCCGATAAGTATACATTTTTTCTAACAGATAAACAGTTCCTTTTTAGGTTCAACGAGAAACACTCGACCCCGATTTCTTTTTAAACAATAGTCTCCGGTTAGTTTTTGTGGACCCCATGCAAAAATTCTATCAGGAAAGCCAAGATAAAACAAAACATTAGATTAGAAAGTAAAAGCACCTAAAAGCTGACTTTCGACCGAAGGAGGTCAGATGTCAATCTTGCAGAAGTGCCTATCAGCAAGGATTGAGGACCGCTCACATAAGAGCGGGGGTAGAAAGAATGAGATATTCCTCACAAAATTTATTTTGTAGGGCAAAGTTTTTACCCCAAGGGAACTCAACCCGGATGGGGGCATGGGGGAGGGTGCATAATCTAGACTAATCAAGACTTCTCAGAATGGGATTCCATATTGGGTTGATGTTCACAGCCTCTTCTTTTCTGTTGTGTGTGTTTGTGGATCTCTATCGCCTCCCGTACCGGTCGGCTATGGTATCTCTGGTCAGAGGCAATGAGTTTCGTGTTTTCAAACAAAATCCTGGGGTTTCCTTCACTGAGTGCTTGTTCGACCACAATGTAATGTCATGTGTTTTTGTGGCTCCATATCTCAATAAATATTTAATCCATTGAGTCGTTGTCTATAGTGATCGATAGAAAATGTTGTGCTCTTTACATTGATGATGTTCATGTTCTTCCAAATTTTAATTTCTTGCCTCTTTTCAGGTTATTATTATATGTTGTCGTTAAGCGATGTTCGGCCAATTTTTTTCTACGAATTCAAATTGAACCAAAGCGCTGGCCAAACAGCCCGAAAAATTAACCATTGTCATTCGCTAATGATGGTATTGTTATGGATCATGCCCGGGGGAAAGTAGCGCTGGCCGCCACTGGTAGTCATGGGCCAAACGTGACGCTGCTAAGAGCGCGATGATTCCCCGCCATTCGAGAAGCAGCGAGAAAAGTGCTTCCGATTTCGACAGAACTTTGGCGAAATTTCTACGATGTTCGATTACGATATTTAAACGCGAGCGGCGAGCATATCGAGACAGTCAAGTGGAAGAAACGGTGCGGTATGCGAAGTGATCAAGTAAGGCAATAGACATTCAGACAGTTAAGTGGACGTTACAGTGCGATATGCGAAGTGATCTAGTAAGGCGATAGACATTCAAATAATAGTTGAATTTTTAATTGAAGTGTTTGTTGTTTTAAAAGTGAAATAAAGTTAAGTTTGATTATTCAGTGTAGTCAATTATTGGTCAACCCACGGGGAAAAACTTAACAGTATCAATGAACATACTTTCCAACATGAATATTACTGGAGTCTTTTTCCAAGAGGAAAATCTTCCTCTTGAAGATGATCACTTGGAGATCGAAACACGTGTCGATGTGTTAAAATAACGATTTGGTGTTGCTAAAAAATTCCAGTAATGTTCATTACTACACCAAAGGTTTCAAACAGTGTTTCACAACAAAACCATAGTTGTGGTGTCACAACTATGGTTTTGTTGTGTGTTAAAACATTGGAAACTGACACTTCATTTGTAGCAAGGAATAAAGGCGTTTGTTATTATCATGTTCATAATAAAACATGTTCGAAATGTAGAAAATGTGAATTATGGGTGAAAAGGAAGATTTTAAGACATAGGTAAAACTAATTCTCATCAGTCCTATCCTAATCACTAATCACTAATTCCAATAAATTGAACTTAGGAAAACACAAACAGTTTACAATATTACCTACATAATGAATAAATGAAAAAAAATATTAAGGAATACATAAATGGTGCATTGAACAAAGACGTTACTTAGGCAAACCTACCAGGAAGTCAATTGTAATACTTATACAAGAAAAATTAAGGTGAAATTATGCAAACTCGATTAGCACGTAGCAAGTAACAAGTTTTAATTATCAATTAACTAGGAGCAAATAACAAAAACGATGATATTTACGCATTCCCAATTAGTCACAAAAAAAGCGCTTAAGACTTTACCAGAAAAAAGAAATCTGTAATCTCGACTTTCGTATATCTGTTATTGTGTATTTTTCAGCGAATATAGAAACACATTATTTGAGAAACGATGAAACGAAACAGACCACAGCCTATAATGAACTTTTTTCCCAACACCAAACCGTTATTTTAACACCTCGACACGTGTTTTCATCACCAAGTGATCATCTTCAAGAGGAAGATCAAACTAAAAAACTCTAGTAATATGCATTACTACACCAAAGGTTCCAAACAGTGCATCACAAGTACACTTTTCAACGTTGGCTTATTCAATTTCGTTCCGGAGATTTTAACCTCGA